TCCATAATAACTTCAACATTTTTCTCTAAGATCCATTTTAATATTATCTTCCCGCCTACTTCTTTATCTTCCTAGCCGTCTGTTTCTTTCTAGATTTTATACAAAAATCCCATATGCATGTTTCTTCTTTCCCATCCATGCAACATAAAAGACAAGAAGTTCTGGGAAGAATTAAAAGCCTACTTTTCTTTGCTACGACACAGAATTCAAAACTAAACAAGTTGCGGGAACACACAGACACAGCCTGATACAGTGACTCACGGAGTCTTCAGTCCCAACGGACTGCGAACCAGGAATGACTCAGCTGAAGAGTACCAGCAGCAATTAACCCGACCCGACAGATTGTCGATCTCATAAGCCTCTTTTTATTTTTTCAAAATAAAGTAATTAGGCTGAAAGCAAGCCAGCTATGTGACATGCAGGTTGCAGAATACAGTAATGGTCAAATATATGGGCCACGCGGTAGCATATTTGGTTGAGGCGCTATGCTACTAGCCAGAAGGTCGAGGGTTCGATTTCCGGTGAAGTCACTGAATTTTTCAATTCACCTAATCCTTCAAGTAGCACTATGACCCTGTGGTCGACTCAGCCTCTAATAGAAATGAGCATCACGAATTTTCCTGGGGAGTAAAGGACGGCCGTCACGTAAGGCTAACAACCTCACCGCCATCTGTGATCCGATTATCTAGAGCAAGGGTCTCCAAACTACGGCCCGCGGGCCACATCCGGCCCGCGAAAGAATTGTGCAGAAATGCGCCAATTGAACTAATTTTCCAATGAGTACTGGTAAAAAAAATACTTGTTCATAGATTTCAAATTCATTAATTAAGATTGTGTTTAAAATATATTGATATTCCATATTATGTTAATATTAATATTATTCACAATTTTACTAATTATGGACCGTGTACTGCGCGGTATTTCTTCGTACTTGTTCGGCCTCGATCGGCAGTGTCACTTCGTGGCAATGTAGGTAGCGCGAGCAGTTCGTTACTAGCCGTCTTGTGCATAACACTTCATGCAGTGGTGCAGTGTAATTGTAAGAGATCATCATCACCTCAATTTAATCAGATTTTAAGAATGTAAAAAGAGTTCCATCATTCACATTAATTGTTTATTATAATTTTTGATGAAAATATGAGCATTTGCTGCTACTGTCTGTTGTCATTGATATACGATAATTTATTCTCACGTACTTTGTATTTAGTTTATGAAATTCTGTGCTTTCAATAAAACTCGTATATCTAGAATTATTAATTTTTTATTTTATCTGGCCCGTTGAGAGTGCTGAATTACCTAATGTTTCGAAAAGTTTGGAGACCCCTGATCTAGAGGGAGCCTCAACCTCTCACAATTCTAAAGGCCTCCACTGCCTGTTATAGGGATAGCTTTACTCTTTTTACGTCAATTATTCAAGTATCAACGAACGGACAATTAACTCTTGGCACAGGGTATAGTCCAAGGTCACAAAGTTCACAGAGGCTGCCCATAAAAGGGGAAGCGAAATTCTTCGTCTAATGCGTAGGAAATAGTGCCTTTGTGGAGAGTTCAAAAAGTGATTAGTCTAAAAGACGTTGAAAAGGCAATACAATCATCAGGGTTATTCAATGCCGGACCGATCGGCTACAGGAGGTCCTTAAATTAACTCTGTGTTCTCGGGGGACTAGTGCGAACTCAGACAAGAAATGGCTATACTAAATACCAGTCAGGACGGCGTGTAGTAGTTGTGTCGTAGCAATGATAAGGCACAGCACTATTTATAACCGAACAGTACAAAATTGGCGACGCTGCTCAAACACGTGTAGTTCGACTTAATGAAGGAACCACATTGTTAGCGATGAAAAGTGTTAAGCTACACGTAGCAATAAATGTTAAACACTAATAACAAATATATATTTATCATTTAAATCGTAGCTGATCTCATTATATGACAAATACGGTAAGGAAAATGTAAAGCTAGGGGCACGCGGTAGCGTGGTTGGTTGAGGCACTATGTTACAAGCCGGAAGGTCGCGGGATCGAATACCGATTAGGTGGATTTTTTCAATTTACCTAATCCTTCCAACCGTACTATGGCCATGGGGTCGACTCAGCCTCTAACAGAAATGAGTACCAGGAATATTCCTGGGGGTAAAGGGCGGCCGACGCGTAAGGCTGACAACTTCACCGCCATCTGTGACCCGATTGTCTAGAAAATGTGGGATCCTCAACATCTCATAAACCTATGGGCCTCCACGACCTGCTACAGGGATAGCTTTACTTTACTTTTACCTAACNAGAGGCTGAGTCGACCCCAGGGCCATAATACGGCTTGAAGGATTAGGTCAATTTAAAAAAAAATCAATGACCTCATCGGGAATCAAACCGTGACCTTCCGGCTTGTAATTTATTGCCTCAACCAATTACGCTACCGCGTGCCATGATGAATATGAGTGGAGAAAATCCGGTAACATCGCGGTGTCATAGCTTTGTCTCTCTTTCCGCTCCGGCTGTCTTGTTTGAAGCAAAAGTGAGGACACATGGATTTTTAAAAATGTATCGTAGTAAGAAAATGAAACATAGGAAGACATAGAATGGGAGGAAAGAGACCAATATTTAAGTTTGTTGTTTAACGATGCTGTTAGTATTGAGATTGTATAAAGTCAATGATAAAATAATTAATAAATACGGAGCAGTTAGTGGAACGAGAATTTACAGGGGAAATTTAAGTACTCTGAGAAAACCTACCCCAATTCCACTTTATCCACCATAAATCCCATATAACCTGGTAAGGACTGTCTTCGCTGGCTCGGAAGCCGGGATCGTGGGTTCGAATCCCACTCAGGGCATGGATGTTTGTGTGCGTTTTTCTGTGTTTGTCTACAGGTAGAGGCCTTGCGACGAGCTGTCACTCGCCCAAGGAGTCCTACCGTATGTGTAAGATCTAGTAAACCGAAGTGAAACGGAGAGTTTCATGGAGGCAGGCCTAGGCCCAAATTGGGGCTGTAGCGCCACAGAAGAAAAAAACCTGGTAAGGAACTCAGGCTGCCGCAGTGGGAAGCTAACACTTCTACCTGCCAATGATATTTACGTGTGATTGGAGCAGAGGTGAGACTATGAAAACGGTGATAACTTCAAGCGGAATTGGTCTGTAGTCCTACAGCATGTTCATAAGTTTCTCTATCTCTAACAAGTTATCTGTGAGTCTAAGACGATAAAATATTTCATAACTTCAATGGACGGTTCATACAGACGAAGCGAAATTCGAGACTTCGCGAGTCCTTAAGGTTCTAAAGGCTGTCAGCTTCTCGAATATCGAGAGATAGGATATTGGACCACGAGATTTGAAACAAAAAACCTTCTTACGCTAGACAAAGAGAACTCAATTTTTCCTTTCCTTTAATTTTCCTTCCTTTTATGTTTCTATTCTTTTCTCAAATTAGCTCTTCCTTTCTCTCTCTTATTTTTCCTTTTCGACTCATTTCTCAAGCCCGGGATATAGAATTCTGTATGGCGTTAAATCACACTTACTGTGGATCGTGGACCTGTTGGGAAAACAAGTATACAACAGCGGTTGCTAAGTAATGGATCTGTAGACAACGGTCGTTGATATGTAATGGCCGCAACAGACACACGCAACTGTTGAAAGCGGTGTTCTCTGTGTGGTCCGCGTAGAGGTTATATAACGAGAGCCAGCTGTTATTAGAAAAGAGTACTCAGAAAACAGAATGTCAGAAAGTAATTGTAAGACAGTCGTCAGCCGGTAAGAACGTGAGGATATTGTTGGGCACCGCCATCAGGCAAAGACTGGTGAAGACAGCAGAATGAGAAGACTTTATATGTGCTGAAGTTGCAGTGATCTTTGGAGTGTAGCTCAGTGAGACTTTCATAGTTATTTGCAGTTATGTTCTGTGAGTGTGTTCATTTTTGTAACGTGTCCGGTTCGAATCTCTGCCGGATCAACCAGTATCTTGAAGTTTACGTGATTTTCCACAGTTAATCGTAGCAAATACTAGAACAGCACCTTAAATTAGGCACAACACGGTCATGTCCACAAGCTTTTCGATTCATTATACGCCATCTCCAATCATTTGAATAAATAAGCAAACGAAATTAAAACAGTACACAGAATAATGAAAAAGTGCATTTAATTTATTTCTTTCAAGGAATCAGGAGGGCTCAAGTTCATAACGATGTCCATGTTAAGGGGAGCATAATTATGTTTATTTCATATCAGGTACGGTCTACCACATTTTTCCACAGAAGAAATTTATGTACCAAAACAATATCCCTCCAGCACAAACCCAAATTACTTTTTCTTTTTTCAACACAGTGACCAAAACTGTAAACATTTTGTAGCATATCACAGTATTCTTTTTTAATTCTAACATAGACGTGTCACTTTCTAGACCATACCTGTACAAATGTTATTCCATAAATAAAATTTGTATTTCATATTTAAAATATACCGATTAATACTGCACATATTTTGTGGCATACCGAAAATATATTTAAAGCTAAAATACTACGCGGTAGCGTAGTTAGTTGAGGCACTATGCTACAAGCCGGAAGGTCTAGGGTTCGATTCCCGATGTCACTGAATTTTCAATTGACCTAATCCTTACAGCCGCATTATGGCCCTTGGGTCGACTCAGTCCGTAAAAGAAATGAGTACCAGGAATCTTCCTGGGGGTAAAGACCGACCTGCGTTTAAGGCTGACTTCACCGCCATCTGTGAGCCGATTGTTTAGAAAATGTGGGAGCCTCGACGTGTCACAACCCCATGGGCCTCCACGGCCTTTTACAAGAATAGCTTTACCTTTTCTTTAATGTAAAAAATGATATTCCATATATGAAATCGTTGGGTCTATACTGAATATCACGGAAACCAGACCGCATAAATTCTTCCGAACAGAGAACTCGCTGTTAGGTGGTGCCACCCCCTCTCTACCCCCGGCGCCGGGCGCTTGCCTCACCCATCCCGTCGTGTGAAGGAGTACGCTTCGAAGCTCGTTCAAGGGAGGACGTGCGTACACAGCTGCACCGCTCACCGCGCGAACGTATGGGATATGTGCGTATTTACGTAAAACGGTGATAACACGATTAATGTTATCGCGTAAAAAAGACTCTTTTGTAACCTCTAAATATTCTGGCATTATCTAAACCTTACATCACCTCTTGGTTTCGCATTTTCTCATGCTTATATATTTAAATATTTATATAATAATATATATAATTTAATGAATATAATACAGAAAGGGTGAAACAAAAGTGAAATATTTGTCTTCAAATCATCATATATATCTGAGGTTAGAGGAATAAAAATGGGGAACACATCCTCGCATCACAGAGTAGGCGGAAACAGTGGCGTGTCATCAAGTACTGAGAAAGTTCCACGCGGTGATACAATATCATCAGGTAACGAGCAGGCAAAAGGTGACGATACAAAGGATATGACGGAGGCGGGAACTAAACTGGTGAATAATCATCAAAATCGCCTGCAGCATCGGAAGCGTAGTAGTTTTATAGGGGGGAGTGAGAAGGAGGTTGAGGTCCCTCTGGTACGTCCGGAGTCACTCACAGAGCGTCAGAAGGAACTCCTCAAGGACACGTGGAAGATACTGGAAGGCAGCATTGCCAAGGTCGGCGTCATCACATTCATAAGGTAAGGGAAAATCGCAGACAGTAGTTACACTGAAGCTATGTTCTGAATCAGCGATTATCAAACGGGGTTTTCTTTTTATAGTATAAAATTGTAACTGTGCTGCGTGACAACTGCATAATGAGGAGCTTCATAACTTGTACTCTTCTTCAAGTATAATTGGAATGATCAAGTCAAGGAGGATGAGGTGGGCAGAGCATGTAGCACGAATGGGGGAGAAGAGGAACGTATATAGGATATTGGTAGGAAAAAGACCACTGGGAAAACCAAAGCGTAGGTGGGTGGACAACATAAAAATAGATCTCAGATAGGATGGGATGGAATGAATTGGATTGATCTGGCTGAGGATAGGGACCAGTAGAGAGCTCTTGTGAACACGGTAATGAATATTCGGGTTCCATAAAATACTGGGAAATTCTTGAGTAGCTGCAGAACTGGCGGCTCCTCAATAAGGGCTCAGCTCCGTAAGTAAGTAAGCATTGCGTGACATTATGTGTGTCCATGCGATGGTTGCAGGTAGTAGTAACTCTGACTGTAGAGAATATCTGTCGAACAAAAGTCTCTCTGTTTTCAATTGTCGCCATTTAAATGAAAAAAAAAGCTTATTAGGAATAGATTCTTAGAAATTATGTTTTACGTATATATCTTTAATGTTGGATGTTATGATCGCATTTTGGATATGTGAAGCGGTTGCCGCAGTATTGAATTGTTTTTAAATGATTTATATAATTATCAACATATTAAATATTTATAGAAAAATTTTCAATGGAAGTTCGCCGTTCGATTCCCGATGGGGCCATTGGATTTTTTTCAATTGACTTAATTCTTCCAGCCGTATTATGGCCCTGGGGTCGACTGAGTCTCTAACAGAAATGAGTACCAGGAATCTTCCTGGGGGTAAAGGGCGGCCGGTGCGTAAAGCTGACTACCTCACCGCCATCTGTGAGCCGATTGTCTACAAAATGAGGGAGCCTCGACGTCTCACAATCTTATGGACCTCCACGGCCTGTTACAGCGACAGCTTTGCTTTCATATATTTATTCTAGATCAAGCAGAGGGTAATAGCGAAAAGTTGGGGTTATCCCTATAATTAATAATGCAATTAAACAATGCCATGAAGGCATTTGCGGGAGTGAAGGTAAAGCGTCACCATTCTTGACCTCAACACCAGATAGAGGTGAGTGGTTAGCTTTACGCTCCTGCAGCTTTACTCCAATATTCATTCCATATGAGGCTGGTTGAGCCCGAAAGGCTATCTGGAAATTATGGAGAAGAGAATCTCTTACCTCTGCCGGGAATTGAACCCCAGTTGACCAGTCCGTAGTCCGTCGCTGTACCGACAGTCTCAACATACACGAAACGATATGCAGCTTTCCTTCTATATTATTTCGAAGAAATGCGCGCACAACGAAATCCGGTAAGTACACAAATTAAGTGATTAATATTCCTGGTTTCTCGACATTTTCCAGTCAAATCGAAGCCGAAACGGGAAGCCAACTCGATGATAAAACGGTCTGATAAGTAGCATATCTGGCCGCACTCCCAATCAATAATTCAATTAATTTTCCTTGATTCAAACTCTGAACAACCTGTTTCAAGAGTATTCGCATTTGAAACGTACAATACCCCAACTTAATCCGCACTACAGAACAATATGGCACCTGCCCGCAACTGATTTTCAACTATAAATCGCCATAAAACAACATGCCTGCCACCGAAATCAAATGCTCCGTTGTTAATCTCAGCATTCAGACCTTCTGTGATAAAATGATCAACAGCCCACTCCAAAACTTCAAGAACAGAACTCCACATTCACAGCTTGTAATGTCCGGTGTCAATATAGGGACTGGAGGCTGGATATTTGACTCCATGGAAGAGAGGAGTAAGACTATCAAGAACTTCACATTTTATAAAATCCGAATGTTCATTGCCGTGTATAAAAAAAGCCCACGATTTGTACTCTATTCAGAGTCAGAAAAAGTCAATTTGCGTTTTCACATCTTACTGCTTTAAGACAAATTTAAATATTATCCTCCCATCTGTGACTAGAATACTAATTTGTTTCTTCTCTTCAAGTTTCCCAACTCAGATTGTATGTACATTTGTCTTTTCCTCATGTGTACTATCATACATGTCGTGACCATCAGACTGTTCATCGTATTCTGAACTCCCTAACAGATGTGTGAAGAGTAAAATGTATGTAAATCTTCACCACGTAGTCCCTTCTATTGCCTTGTCTAACTTATAGTTTCCAGAACAGCTCTCATGTCCTTTACAATAAGGAAAAAATTTCATACTCACGCAAACAAAAGGACAGTTAACTTGTTCCTGCGTTTGATTAAACACCACGTAATGATGATGTATGTGGGATTGGAGGTATAGCTCCACGTATTCTTGACATCGACACTAGGTGGAAGTGAGTGGTCAATTTCATGTCCTTGCCGCTATATCTCGGGGAAAGAGTGAAGTGGGCTGGACTGACCTCCATCTAGTGCCGAGGTCAAGAACGGTGGAGTTATCCCTCCATTCATATATATGTCTTCATCGCATACTGATTAATTATGTAATTAAGTACACGGGATACACTTTCCTTGTCGTTTATTTGAGAAGACAAGCATTTGTAATCTCGTAACCAGCCCCTTCCTAACAGGGACACAAAAATATTGTGAATATAGACGAAGTTTCGTGTGGTAATTGGATTTATTGTACATTCATGGAAGGTAACTACAAATAACTACTTCAGTCTCACTGAGTCACACATTACAAACATCACTGTAACTACAGCACACATAAAGTCTTCTCAGTTTGTGACGTTTTCGTCAGTCGTTGCCTGGTGACGGATCCCAATAATGTCCTCTTCTTCTGTGCTCACGTTCTTACGGACTGGCGACTTCTCACAATCAACTCACTGCTTCAACTCTCCTGCTTATATTATCTCGGCACGGACAGCACAGAGAACACCTTTCCTCTGTCACTGTTTCCAATTGTTGCCGCGCAAACATGTTTGTTTGTGAAGCTGTTACTGAGTAACGGGTTTGTTATATTTGTTTATCTTGCAGTCGTTGCCTAGCAACGGCCAAAGTATTAATAATTCTGCCTATGATATTACTTCAGACATATATGCTTATATGTACATATCACTGAATTAATTTTCTGTTCTCTTAAATCGTTGGACGCATTTTTCCTCTCTTACTTCTCTTAATATAAAAATAACTATATTCGGATTTCACGCATTAGTTCTAGGTTTTCCAAGGTCTTCTTCGGTCTCAACGTCATTATGGCTTATAAAGTTGAATCTTTTTCGGTATTTTTTATCGTCAATACTATCCACGTTGTTTGGCCAATTTTGTCTGTCTACTTTATTCTTTTCCTGGAACTCATTTCTGTTAGAGGCTGAGTCGACCCCAGGGCCATAGTGCGGCTGGAAGGAATAGATCAGTTGAAAAGTCCAATGACCTCATCGGGACTTGAACACGCGACCTTCCGGCTTGTAATATTCTTGGATGTAAAGGGCGTAGGGCTGACAACATTGCCGCCATCTGTGAGCCGATTGTCTAGAAAATGTGGAGCCTCACCATCTCACAAACCTATGGGCCACAACGGCCTGTTACAGGGATTGCTTTACTTTTACTTTTAATTTATATTTTACTGGTTGTATTTTCGATTCTTTCCTTGTATATTCATCCTTTATATGATCTAGTCTAGTGCAGCCTTTAACTGTTCTTAAATATAAATCATCACTATCGACATTACTACGTTACTTGATTTAATTGCCCAACAAGGGAAACTTTTAAGGACAAAACAAAACAGACCACAGGGTATCGTTGATCCTTAAAGTCGATACGTCACTGCATCTGATTCCTGCTCATAGGAAACAAACGATTCGAATTAGGACCACTGAAAACGCTACGGATCAGCTAAAACGTTGAAAAATGCATGGGCCTAAATTAAACTATTTATACAGCGTGTTCAATTTAATACGTACCAAAAAGGAAAACACTGCATTATGTATCTCTCTAAATATATAATGTAAATAACCCCTTCCCCTTAATCCACGGAACCTGCCAACATATATTGCAAAACGTCTGAAATTTTTTCTGTTCATACACAAAACTGCACATTGAGGAGCTTCATAACTTGTTCTCTTTTCCAAGTATAAATAGAATGATCAAGTCAAGGAGGATGAGAAGGGCAGGGCATGCAGCACGAATGGGGAAGAAGAGGCATGTATATAGAATATTGGTGGGAGAGCCAGAAGGAAGGAGCTACTTAGGTAGACCAAGAAGTAGGTGGGTGGACAATATTAAAATGGATCTTAGAGAGATAGGGTGGGATGGTATGGATTAGATTGATCTGGTTCAGGATAGGGACCAGTGGACGGCTCTTGTGAACACGGTAATGAACCTTCGGGTTACATAAAATGCTGGGGAATCCTTGAGTAGCTACACAATTGGCGGCTTCTCAAGAAGGGCTCAACTCCATGAGTGATAATTGAGGGTATGTACTACAACGTCGCCTCTATTCGTGTGTGGTTTTAAAATAGATCACCCTGTACTACAATTTCGAAGTTACCTATAGCAGAATTAATTACATTGCGTATCTCAGTGGGATGTCAAGTTCTCTTGGTGTTGCAGTAATTGGCACTCCTACTTCGCATGCGGAAGGCACTTGATTCCAATACCGGTCGGTCCAACTAATGCACTATCGACCCTTCGCAATATTCTTCCGTCTCTGCAGTCTTGTATCTAAAGAGCAAGCTAATTAAGATACGATAGGTTCCCTTTTTGTCCTGGCCAATACACCAGGGTTTCGAGCTGTGGGTCGGGATACCCAAGTGGATCTCGAATAACTCTAACGGGATTCGTCCAGTTCTCCAAAAATTCTTAAAAGTACAAGCGTATCCAAGCACAATTTTGGCAACTCGTAAGCTTGCAAGATGTGGCAGAGAGCAACAGTCGTGGACAGACATGAGTAAAGGTAAATATGCTGTATTTATCTCACAT